TCTGTTGACACCCACCCCTTGGCGCTCATATGACCTTATGCAGTTGCAAGTGCCGTAAAACCCTCTATTATAAAAAATATATATAAAAAAGGAAAGATAAAGGGGGTAAGTTCTGTAAAGTAACAATGAAATGCAAACATCTAGAATTTCCATTAATGTCATAAATAAAATTCCTGATTCCATGTGTGTTTTCTTGCAGTCGTTTGATGAGTGCGTGGCGCGAGATGGTGAGGACTGTGACCCGGAGAACCTGTGGGTGCAGATCCCCTACTTCTGTGGCCACCATGCAGACTGCTGGTAAGTACCTCTCTCCCTCACCCTTTCTCTCACTCCTTCACTCACTCACTTATTCACTGCCTCTCTCTCTCAATCACTCTCTCACTACTCATGCCAGTTGCTAGCATACCTTACTTGCACACACACACACACACACACACACACACACACACACACACACACACACACACACACACACACACACACACACACACCCTCTATGCCCAAGGCTGATATATTGGTCACTCATTCACTCACTCACTCTCTCACTCCATCATGCCAGTTTCTAGCAGATATCTTACTGACTCTCACTCCTTCTCTTCGCCTCTTTGTCCACTGTAGAGACTCTTCACACTGGTAGAGCTGCATTCCTCATGGTCAAGAGCTTACGGTGTTGGCCTCTCATTCAATAGGTCCCGTGTTCAAATGCGGATAGCAACGGAAATTTTTTTTCTAAAATTTTCTTCTTTCACCTCCTTTACTGCTCTCTAACAATGTCGTCTTCATTTTCTACCCCCATCCCCTCACCTGGTACCCCCTTTGCCCCTTCCTCTGGGCTCCTGACTCTGCAGCCTTTCTACTGCTACTCCTTGGCTCCTTCTCACTGTTGTCTTTCAGCCACGCCCCTGATCTTTTGGTAGGTAAGATTCAACACCTAGTCTTCTCAGATGAGGGCGAAAAATCTCGGAGGTACTGTGTGCAAGAGTAGGCTTCGGCCGCCACCCAGACAAAATTCAAAATTTCCTACCAAGTAAAAATGTTTGGTGTGTCCTGCGCGTTCATATGACCTTATGCAATTGCAAGCGCCTTAAAACACATGTCTCCTCCTCCCCCAAAAAAGAGCTTCGTTCTCCTTTTGGCTTTGGGATTGTAACACACCTTTCCTCTTTACTTTTCTTGTTCATTCTACGTAAATCTTGTCATATATGTTAAAGCTAGTGCAGTAAATCTCTTACTAATACTAAAGCCTGAACTATTGGCTTTTCTCCAGCACTTAATGGCTGTTATTAATTATGTCTTATGTGCTTCTCTCAGCTGCATCTAAAGTGAACTTGATTCTTCCAGGGAACCAGGGAACCAGTGGGCCTTAGAGGAAGCCAAGCGTAACGTTCTACATCACTACCTGGTGGTGGGCGTCACCGAGGAGTTGCGTGACTTCCTGGCTGTTCTGGAGGCAACCTTGCCCAGGTTTTTCCGCGGTGCCACCGCGCTTTACAGTGAAGGTGAGGCAATTGTGTTACACCCTCATACAGTGGGTTCCACGTAAATCGAACATGGTTTATTCAAAAACAGCAGTAAAGGGAAAAGATAAAGAATCTGCTTTTTTTTTCCAGCGCTATTTTGGGCATACTTTCTAAACTGAAAACACAGCTAAAAGGAAGAAGATCTGGCAGACAAGTAGATTTCAATTTATGTGGACACCACTGTATAATGATAATAATGGTGTTTACAATATCGGATCACATACATTGTATTTTCCACTGGGAGAGTGTTCAATGTGATTTGAGAAAAAAAATGTGTCACAACCCGGTGGAATCGAGCACTCATCAATTTTGGGGCATGTAGAGTTGTTGGTATCATCTTAACGCCTGTATATTTGCCTTGCTTTTGATTTAAAACATATCTATTGATCTTGGATACAAGTCAAGAAATTGGCGAATGAAGGAGATGAGAGGGGGGGGGGGGGGGGTCACCATGATTCAGAGGTAAAATTAGCGAGAAAATGGCCGCCAATTTTGAGTTATTTCCTTAGCTTGAGAGTCTGGGGAAACTAAAAATTTACATCATTTATGCCTTTAATCAACGTTTTTCAATAAAATCCACTCAGAAATGTGTTCTTTAGTGGGGCATGAAGGGTGTTGAGCCAAAAAATAAAAATTTGATCAAAATTCACAAACATGTGGGAAAATGCCAGTTTCTTGGCTTTCATTATTTTGACGATGGCCTGATTTCACCATGCTGCCTCACAAGTTACAATCACCTTTTTATTCATTGAGAATAAAGAAAATAGTAGAATTGGTGGTTGGGGAATTGCTTTTGATCATGATAAAATCTCCATGAAACAGATCAGGAGAGGGGATGACTCACCCACCTAACTGGTAAGACATTAATGTATTGTTGGAGTTAAGAGTTTTCTACGACTGAGTTGCACCTTAGATAGTGTGATTTGTCAGTCAGGGTTTTTAAGTTCATGTCAGAGAAAGATTGTGTCTGAATTGTTTGTAGTACAGGCAGGTACCATCAGTCTGTCTCTAAACATGTATGTCAGTCCAAAATTTTGCTTCAGGAAAGCACCATCTCGAGGTGCCCCCCTCCCCTCCATCCCCTCTGATGCATATTTAAGGTTGTGTGGTGAGAATATATTCTTTATAGCCATCAGAGCAAGTTCAACCTAATTTCACAACAAAATTTCTGGGTGGTTGGCGGGTGCCCTGGTGTGGTTTGCTTCTTCTTTCCTATTAAATATCTATCGCCTTTATTTTCCCTCCTTTTTTGTTTTTGTTACTCTCTTGTAACGCCTCTAATCTTCGGCACAAATATGACTTTATTGTGTTTCAAGTGCCGTAAAACACTTACTAAAAGTAAACAGCTAAATTTATCTGTGTCCACCTGCAGGCCACAAGTCACACTTGCGTAAGACAGCAAAGAAGGTCCCGCCCAAGCCTCAGACGATTGAGAAGATTCAGGAGTCCACCATTTGGAAAATGGAGAATGACTTTTACGAGTTTGTCCTGGACCACTTCCACTACATCAAGCACTTGACCTTTGAGATGCAGGACGGAGAGGTTGTGGAGAAGGAGCGCAAATTCCAGTTTGAGAAAATCCGGCCAAGATGAGAGGAGGAACAGGGTGTCGGGGGTTCCAGGGTGGGGGGTAGGGGGTTGTGGCCGAACTGACTAAAACACAAGTTGTGTTGGGTGTTTGGGGACTGCCGCACTGACAGTCAGACATGGCGAAGGGACTCTTGTTGTCTGATGATGTGTGTGTGTGTGTGTGTGTGTGCGGAGTTATCTCTGTGATGGTGGTGCTTGGGTGGGTGGGGCTAATGTGGCTCTTGGTTCACTTGGGTTTTTTGGGGGTTGTTGTTTTTCTTTTGCTTTTGTTGGGGGTTTTTTTTTTGGGGGGGGGGATTGGTTTTGTTGGGAGTTTTTTGTTTTTGTTGTTTGTTTGGTTTTTTGGGGGGGGAGGTTTGGGCTGGGGGGTCAGAGATGGGTGGTTGTGCATTATTTTTTTTATACATACATGTTATATATGTATTATAGATATTTTTCATTTTAATTACTGCTCCTTTGTTTAGAGCAGTTGTATATGTGTCTATGGGTATGGAGGGGTGTAAAGTCTGTACAGAGAGTGGAAGATGTGTGTATAAGTGCTGTAAACTTGATGTCACTTGGTGCGTGTTCTCTGCAGAGAAAGTTTATCAGATTTGAGTGACAGAGAAGCTGAGAGTTTGACGTTGCTCTGATAAATGTTTTGGAAAATTCTGCTGCTCATTGTTTATTTTTGGTTTTGAAAAGACAGTATTGAGTTGCCCACCTCTGCTTTACCTGAAAAGAAAATGGACTTAGTTGTATGTTCAGTTGAGTTAGTGCTGAGAATAACATGAACTATCATGGCAGCTGGATATAAATTGCGTCTGCCAACGGCGCCATTCAGTCTGCCTTGTTTGTGAGTTACAGTGAAAGAGAGAAAGAGAGAGAGAAAATCCTTTTTTATCCAGGACAGAAAAGAAACTTTGCTGCTTGCCTGATATGGTCAGTGTTGTTGTTCAAATGGTTTGCCTCTTGTTTTCTGTGCAGTGAACCAGATAGTCTGTTGAGAGAAGTGATGTTGGATTGATTGCTCAGAGCATTGTTTGGGTTTCAAATGTCAGTTGCCACTTTGTTTGTTTCAGCTGGCCTGCTTTTTGTACCATTCTGACATTTTATAAATCTCAAGTCAAACTTCGGCTAGGTATGTCATCAGCTAAATTTTTTTATTCTGGCATGCCACTTAAGTGGCATATTTGGCTCCATATTTCAGGGGCTTACCACTTCAGTTGCATTTTGAGGGTACAGATTTCTTGAACCTCAAAACCTACACCTGGTCGTACACTACATTTACCTATTTTCACCTATGTTGTGATTCTCTGTCCAATCACGGATAGTTTGAGTGCTCACACAAACATATCCATCAATATTTGACAGAGCTATTGCCATTTTAAGGTAACACCCTTCATGCCTGGGTGAGTGAAATTGTGGAATCCCTTGCGTACTGGAAGAGTTAATTGATATCATGCTGACTGATCTAAGGTGCTCCTGGCCATGTTTCTCTATGAGTTGTTTTTTAACTTGTGTGGTTTAGAGAGTTTTCAGACTGTTTTCATGGCATGAATATGATACTTTTAGTAAAGGTAAGATTTTTAAAATATCTTTTTCGGGGATTATCTGAGAACTTTAAAAACTGGTAAAGGCCAAAGTTTGAGCTCTGTGAAGAAAAGTTTCTCAGTAAGGGGATTTTACTGTTGATGTAAGAATTCTGCTCAAAATTGAATTTGATGTTATTATTTATGTTAAAGTAATTACCTCTGAGTTTCCTGCAATACAATTGTGTAGATGCAAAAGAGAGGCTGAGCTTCAGTTAGGCATGTCTACGAGACATGTGTCCTTCTGGAATTTATAATGTGCTGTTGTAGTCCACAATATTTCTTTCCTTCTGAAATTTGCATTGTGCTGTAGGCCTCGGGATTTCTTTCTATTTGAAATTTGTAACCATAGTCCTCAAGGTATTTTTCCATCTGTTATTTGCTATGTCCGCTGGGGCGAGTGGGGGAATGATCTTTTTTATCTCAAAAATGCAAATCTTCTAAAGTGAACAATGTGACCCAGTCTTCTTCTCACTTGCAGTATTTCTTTCCACATAGCATTGTTGTTTTGACTATAGGTACATCCTGTGATTCGGTGCTGCTTTGTATCATAATTATAAAATCTTTCAGTTTTGAGATATTGTGTCTTGAGATAGCGGGGTGGTTGGCAGGTACTCTGATGTGGTTTACCTCTTCTTTCCCATCAAATATATGTTGTCCTAATCTCTCCTATTTCTTTCTTTTTTGTGTGTGTGTTTGTTACTCTTTCTTAACACCTCTAATCTTCGGCACTTATGTAACTTATTGTGTTGCAAGTGCCATGAAGCCCGTGCTAAAACTGTGTCTTGAGATAGATTGGTGTCTTACTCTCCCCATTTGTGACCTAAAAAGTTGTTTAAAAAAACCCAAACGCTTTGGTCCTAGTGTGTTGCAACAGTGTTTTTCTCCAGAGCTATACGTGAACTGAAGGGTTTGTTTATTGGTCATACATCAAACGTTTCTCTCTTGAGAGGAAGTCTATCATGGGTGTCTGTGACAAGGCAAATGTTTTCCTTCATAGTTCTACTTCTTATGTAAGTCCCTTGTGTCTTTTGGCCTGTTTAATTGATTCGTGGTTGGTTGGCAGGTGCTCTAGTGTGGTTTGCTACTTCTTTCCTATCAAACATCTTTCGACTCTTTCTCTCCTTCTCCTCCTTTGTGTTCCTTATTCTGTAATCTCCGGCCCTTATACGACCTTATAGTAGCCTTAAAACGCTTACTAAAACTAAAACGTAGCTGATTCACATTTTGTTTGTTATTGTGGTTGATGTAAGAGATGTGTCAACAGGATTATAGTCGCTCCCCTCATCTAGGATCCCACCAGAAGGATGGTGGGTATTTTTGTGTAGTCTTCTGCCCCTTCCTCTGTTCTGTGTGGCTACTGTACTGCTCTATTCCTGAGGAAATGTGAGTGGGTTTCTAAGTAAGGCTGACTCACATCAAACGTTATTCTGTGACTGTAATGTCCTTCTTTCTCTTGTTTATCTTTTTAATCTCTGTCAACTCTTACAATCTCTGTCGTAGTCGTAGTCTGTTCAAGTGTAGCTTTTCCAAGGCTAGTGAGTCACATATATATTTGGACGTACTAGCTCACCACAATGTTACAGTGTTAGCTCCCTATCAGGGGGTACCCCCACTTACGACAGTCGTAGGTTGTACTACATATCATTGCTGTGTAGGAGAGATTCTCAAAGTACCGGTTGTGAGTTGAATCGTTTGAGTTGGGGGGGGGGTGTCCCACTCAAGCATTTCATCACTCTTAAGTCAAGTCATAGCAGTGAGGCTCCAGTTGTCTCGCTCTCTCATCATGAATGAACAAATCCCACTTGTTGTAATAATGTTGACTTCCTGTGTTCTTCTGTGTGGAGGCTGTGCTTTAACATATCTGCAGTTGTCGTGTTCGGAGTGACGTCAGAGTTGCAATAAGTGTTCCAGTTACTTTTTTAAAGATTTATATTAATAATACTAATAACAGTAAGCAGGGTAATGGTTGACAGTGCAATATGTCTTTTGTTTAAATAGCAGTAGTGTGTCTCCAAAAGTTTTGCGTCTTGGTGCCCATAGGATATCAGACTCATTGAAAGATACAATAACAACCTTCTGCAGTGGCGAGAGGCCTTGACAGTCAATGATAGTGCCATTGGTTGGTTGTGAATTGTAGCTTGTTTGTACCAACTGGTGTGCAGTGTTTGCTCTCAGCCTAGGGTACTGTCCCTTATGACAGTCTTTGGTAAATCAGAACTTGGGAGTACTCATAAGAAAAAGTGGGTGGTTGGCAGGTGCTCTGGTGTGGTTTGCTTCTTCTTTCTTGTCAAACATCTATCATCCTTATCACTCCTCCACCTTTTTGGTATGTATATATAGATGTTACTCTCTTGTAACGCCTCTAATCTTTGGCACTTATGTGACCAAATTGTGTTACAAGTGCTGTAAAACTCTTCCTAAGACGGAAAAGTAGTATATTTCTATGAATGCAATATATCTATTGTTTGGAGCAGAGCTTACCTTTCTCACTGCTAACTGGGGTAGAGTTTGTTATTTGAACTTACTGTACTTACTTTTGACTGAGCACAGTTGCTTTTGAAACCTTGAATTTTAGTGCATTTGCAAGACATCTGTAGTTCACGACAGAAGAAGAATCAGGTCCTCATGTTGCAGTTATCAGCGTTCATTGGTGGGGGGGGGTATTGCTTTATATTAAGCTTGCACAAGGTCTGCTGTTCATTAACCAGTGTCCACAAAGTTCTATTTAATCTCTTAGCCTAGCTAAAGTCATGAGTTCGGTACCCTTACCGGGATGATCACAAGTGTTGCCACTTTTCCTGCCTCTGCAATGGTGTAGTATTTCTTCTAAGACTGGGAGGGTCCAAGCAGCCCACCTCCTAAATGGTCCAGACTGCCTCAGTGGTGACAGAACAAAACATTTACAATAATTTTTTTAACAATCCCACTTGGCATGGTAATATAAAACTGCAGTGTCCTTGTGGCCAGCTCTTGTGTGCATGTCAGTAGATTTTGTGTGTTTGATTTATGTTGATAGATGATATGCATTTGATGTGTGTTGATAGATTCTGTGGTGTTTGATACGTGTTAATCGATGTGGTGTTTGATGCATGTTGGTAGATGTGACAGATTTTCATGTCTGGTCTGATGTTATATTGCTGGAAGCCCACTTGAGTGGGGGGGGTTTCCTTACATTGTGCCACTTTTTTATGTACAGTCTGGACCGTGACTGTGGTCGATCACTGCTGTCTATCACCAAGACTGGCGAGTGTTGAGGAGTTGTGTGTTGACTACCAGTTATTTCCAATACCAAAGCTTTTCTCTTTTGTGATCACTCCAATTTGCCACTGCATTATAACGTGTCTGTGCGGGAACAAAAAAACCTGAAGCGTTGGGAATCAGAAGTAGTTGATTTTGTATTTGTTGCTGTTGGTGTTTGATGCATTTTTAGACACACTGTCAGTCATATTGTGTCTCTAGCACAACCTTGGTTGGCCCTGACATGCAGGGTTCTAGCAGTCCACGTCCTCCCTGAATTGGATCTCATCCGTGTGGGGAGGAAAGCATTTATGATCACGCACTCTCTACTGGTTTAGGTATTGACCAAGAGAACTTTTGAGTTTGTGTAAAGAAGTATATAGGTGGTAAGCGGGTGCATTGGTGTGATTTGCTCCCTCCTTCCTGTCGAACAG